GAGGTCAGGGGAGAGAGAAATGGGGTTTAACGTCCACTCGACACAAACTAGGTCATTTCGGGACTAACAAATGGTTTAATTTTATTTCAATAATTCGCATGCGCTTAGGGGTCTTTAGCAGTGGGAGGAAAACGGAGGACCCGGAGAAAACCCACGAGGTTGGACAGGCAACCCTACTCCTTGTCACGTACAACCGGGGATTCGAAACCACGCCTGTCGACTGACTCGACTCAATGACAGACTTTATGATACAGCGCTTGCAGGGGAGGTCAGGGATACAGTACAATGTTCAATAGCTACAATAGGCATAACCATTTGGATTGATATACTCATTTATCAGTTATTGTTGAGAGGAAGTGTGATCTATTCTGAACTCTGAGCTAGGCCTACATCCTCTGTAAAATGAAATGAAATTTTAATAATGTTTCTTAACACCCGAAGCAAGCAAAGGACTGTTTAGTTATCGACTGAAACTTTATTATGAGTACACTTTTAATTCTATAGGTCGATTCAGATTATTCTTTGACAATACGAAAGAAAAACATTAATTATATATTACCGTACGGTACCAGGTAATGTGAACAAAAAGTGCTATCAGGTGTTCTAAAAAGAATAAGTACGCCCCCCCCCCCCCTGCATATGCTGCACACATACATATGACTTGCTGTTCAGTTCGCTAATTAGCATGAATAGAAAGGCCCAGCCTAGAGTCGCATTATAAATGCTTTTATAGATCAGTATATGCTTTGCCATTGGAATTTGTTAAACCACAAAAACAGGCTATAATGTTTCTGGTTGAATTTTGCATGGAACAGTGCCTAGTTGCTTGGATGGAAAGAAAAATGCGTCCTGCACATAGAACTAAAAGAACCCTACAGACAGAATTCCAAAAAAGAGTAAGCTTACGTAGGCTACATTAGTGTCACTCTGTCCAAAATTTGCCTCATCATAACATATTGATAGACGATAGTGTATGCCTTCTTCATTAGCCCAGAAAGAGCAGAAAAGTAGGATGTTAAACCCCATTTCAGCATTTCATTTCATTTTGTTTCATCATCATATTAATATCTTCAAAATTCATATCATCAAAATTCATATCATCAAAATCCATATCATCAGAAATGGCATTAGTACCAGTAGGTCTACATAGTTAACATAGGCCTAGTTTAGTAGTTTAGGCTACAAGTACAAGTAGGCTTCAAACCTAGTACGGCCAAATACTAATAGTGCTTGATCTTGATGGCAGTAGGAATATTGTTTAGCACTATCTCACAAAATCTGTCATTTGAGCCTAACACGGCGTGCATGGGTCGACTGTCAAGTGAATTTAACAATAGGCCTATTAGTCCCGAAATGATTTAGGCCTAGTTTAATGGTTTGTGTCAAGTGGTCGAGACGAGTGGACTTTAAAGGAGCTAAATCAAGTAAATCGCTAATGTTTGGGACCTAGAAATTGACCCAAATGGGTCGCAACAAATAATAATGTAATCTGATTGTATATAAATAAAATGATTTACATTCAATTGTTTCCGTTTTGACTCTAATTTCAAATCAGTTATCTCCAGCGAAATATGGCATGAGTCTCAACCGAATCGCTATTTCTAGTATCTGGTTATTTCAGTCTATTGCGCATGCTCTCATGGCGTCACCGTTTGATATGAGTATTCAGTTGTGGAATATGTCTAGCCTCGGTCCTTTGTTACAAATGACAATCAAACGTACTATGGCACCGTACACGATTCGTGTACCAATGCAATGGTAAAATATTTATTTTATTTTAAATATTGGTTATCAGAAGCTTACCTTTTCCCGGTAAGATCACAACATCAATGTTGATTTGAATTGACAAATAATTCGTGTTTTCAACGAGTAAGACTTTGGTGGATGATATTGAATTAGACTTAGAGACTAAGTTAGTTTAGCTAATCTTAGTTAGACTTAATCCCCATCTGCCATCTGGCATCTCTCTGTCCCGAGTCCGAGTCTCTCTCTGTCTCTCTAACTATTAAAGCCCAGTCTTTGGATGGCTTTTATCCCCTGTTTAAGTCTGATCTTTTATAAAATAAAGTAAGATACCGGTACCTCATGTTTTGGATTTTCTAAGTTTTAAGTATTAATATGGCGCTCTTTCCCGCCTTGTTGACCTTGGACCTTGTCCAAAAGAGCGCAGGAAAGTAGTTCGAGAGACAGCGTAACCCTAGTAACTCACAATGCGATTCTTGAAGACGATTTCCGTTCATGAAATGAAATGATTGGGGTTTAATGTCCTACTGTTCGGCCCCGACTGGGCTAATGAAGACGGGCATACGCCATACAGTGTGCTATGAAGGAAAATATTGCCCGGGCAGTGGAAATATGGCCTAGGCCTACTCTTATATCGAATTCCAACTGCCAAGGGATCTTTAACGTGCATGCCAATGTATACACGAACGACTAGACAACTGTTCTTGTCAGGCCTTCCGTCTTGCACCACTGACAATTAAGGGGAAACCATGTCGAATAAACCCGATGAAATTCTTGGCCAATGCAGGGAACGAAGATTCCCGTTCATGGAGAAATGAAATGGGATTTAACAATAACATCATATAGACCCAATGCAGCATGCAGTATGCTATTGGGGTGAGGGGGGGGGCCGGTTTTCGGCGGTACTGGGTACGGCGTACTCTTATTTCGATTCAAAACTGAAGGATTCCTCTACGTGTACGCGGGACCTCCTTTCTGTCCCATCTGGACGACTATATAGCTTTTCCTTGAGGCACTCCGCCCTGTCCTACTGACAAGGGTAAACTTTGCCTAAAAATCACGACGGATTCACACCGGGAGCAAACTCCAGACCCCCCTCCAGCCTAATAATAAGCAGTACGGTATTTGTGTTGCATATAATCTTTTAGTGTGACCTGTATATTCCAGTTCAATTACCGAATGCTATTAAAACAATTTATTAATTACTGCACTCCATAGTCTTTTACGCTATAGACTAATCTACACCCAGGTTCAACGCTACGGGTTCGATCCCCCGGTAACATACAGTGGCGAGGATCGACGGGCGGTAGGCTATATATTTTAGGCCAAAGTTTTTTGAAAGATTTGTTCTAACTTGGAAGATTGTTCGGGTCGTCATAAGAAGGCAGTCTATACAAATTCTATCTTTTATTCCCATTTATCGGAGATCGAGAAAATAATGATTTATAAATAAGCTAATAGCGGATAGGTCTACTAACTATTACAGCCTTTGTTGGTTGCTAATAGTAGATAACAAAGGCTGCCCTTGTTAGTTGTTACTGTAGCGGCTAACAATTTACCCCCAGAGGCGCAGAGGCACCCTTAGCGCTGCTACGAGCATCTAAAAATGACTAACAACTTTCTACTATTAGCAGGCTAATAATAGGCGGATCGGGTGAACATATGACTTGAACTTTCCACGATTCGGTCAAATAGAACACAGCTCTTTGAGCCCGTCGATGTCATTGGGTGGCAATAATCTTGAAATTATACCGATGTATATTCTTAACTCGTTCCCTCTGAGTGGCAGCCATCGACCACTGTCCACAGGTTAATATCATACGAAACATTACATGTTCAATACTACGTTATTTAGGTTCGATGCACACCTAGGAAACTAGCATATGGAATCGACTTACCATGTTTTACCTTATTTGAATACTGCTTGTTTGGGCCCGCTAACTTTGAAAAATCTTGAAATCATTCTCCGAGATATGGTCTAGACACTGTCCATAGGTCAAAAGTCTTTATATAAGAACTTTTAATATTGATCAAAGATTGTTCTGTTTAAAGATGTTGTTTTATTTTTATAGAATGATAATTTGGTTGGTTTACTGTGTCTGTCTCTTCTTACAGTTTGTATTGTGTGGTAAGTAAAACAATAATTTATTAACACACAATTGTCTGTTATGATCATTGAATATTTAAATCCAATGACAGAAATAGAAACATCTGTTTGTAAGCTGGTGGTATTTGGAACTGGTCCTCTACCAAACTTGATATAACCACTTTATACGGCAAGTGTAAATTAAAATAACCCGGAAGGTAAAGCTTGAAAATACAGAATAAATCCCAGACCCGCATCAACGATATCTGTAACACTATTATAGTGATAACAGAATATCAGTTTCGTACAGGGTTTATTTACGTCGGGAACAGAATATAAAACAGCTCCATTTCGCCCCGGCAGCGGCTGAACTCGGATGAGCCCATTCACCGGTCTCCGCTCTTCTCTTCTCCTCCCCGATTGTCTATCATCTGCGTCTCGTCTACTGCCAGTAATCTCGTGGTTATATAGCCTAACCATTAGAAATGAAATGAAATGAAATGGGGTTTAACGTCCTACTGTTTTGCTCCGAACTGGGCTAATGAAGACGGGCATACGCCATACAGTGTGCTATGAGGGAAATTTTGCCCGGACAGCGGCACTACGGCCTACTCTTATATCGAATTCATACTGCCAAGGGATCTTTTACGTGCACGCCAATGTGTACACGGGACCTCGGTTTTTCGTCTCATCCGAATGACTAGACAGCTGTCCTTGTCAGGCCCTCCGTCTTGCATCACTGACAAGGGGAAACCACGCCCGAAAATCTGGATGAACTTTCTCGGCCAATGAAGGGATCGAACACCCGACCTCCAGGCTAGCGAGCCAGCGCCTTACCCACTTAGCCACCGTGATCCCCCTAACCATTAGAAAAATTGATACGAACGGAATCTGGCCCCGAGTTCTCAGACTTAAATTAAGAATTTACTCAACTTTAAATCACTGTTTATGATTATGAGAAATATCTTTGATCCAGAAACACAAAACTTTGCACATAGTTTCTTATTGATGTATTTGATACCTTAAAACAACACAAGTTTTATAAAGGGCTATATTTTAGTTAAGATAAGGTGAACAATTTTGAGTGAATGCTTTGTGAACTCGGGGCCCGAACTTCTTATAAGGAGTTTGGGTCAAACAACAAAAAGTCATTGTCATATATGGAGGTGTTTATTTACCACGTCATTGTATGTTCAAAGAGCGTGGAGTTTTCATTGCAAAGTATTTCTTTATTTGAAGAAAATCGGATAAACTGAAAGAAAAAAAACTTCAGACATTGACAGATTTGTATGACCAAACACTCTTGGTAATCCGGGAACTTGAAAGTAGTTCCAATGGCAAAATTTGTCATACAACCGAGGCTAGATGTAAGGTACTTGAGTCTACTGAGGTTTGCCGAGTATAGTCAATCCTAACATTGTATTTGTATGTTACATTTAACAACATTCAGAACAATTAGGGACCACGTAGTCTTAATTACCCACATGGGGCTGGATTAGGCTATCAATATATTGACAATTCATCAATTCCAGCAACAAACTTATTACAAGTCGAAAAGGCGTGAACTAGATTTTCAGGTATATACACACCTTCCATCGCCTGCTAGTTACGAAATGTTATTTTACCATATCCTAATAAGTTCCACAACAGCAATATACCTACAACAGTTGAAATCCACCATGTCGAAGCGTTAAACTAATGTTTGCACGTAAACATGTATATTACACTGACAGTAAATTAAAACCAATTTTTGCGTTATGCTATTGACTGTACATGTACAGCGGTATGAAATCCAAACATAATGAGGGTATTTTGTTTACCACATGGACAAAAATGGAAAACCCGACGACATCAAAGATATATACACTTGTTACATTACAACCTGTGTAATATGATTCAAATAAAAGGTCAATTCAAAGTCAGAGTTAATAAATACAAAAGTATAAAATTATATGGATTTCACTAGGTTAATATGTGTGGTTATGGATGGCAAAATAGATGTGTGATGATACAACATGCTTTTAACCATGAAAGTATAGATACTTTAGTTGTCGCTAATACCCTAAGTTATATCGACTACAGTTGTTTTTAAAAATAAAACTGCCTTTAGTTTATTGTTATTTCCAGTTTAAGGGAGCGTGTATTAGATATATAATTTACATGTTTAAGTATACCACTAATAAAATATGTGTTTTAGATGTCATTTTATGTACCAGTTGTGTTGATATTACCCATATTATAATAACCAGTCTGGTCTCTTGTATTTAATAAATCATAAACAGCAACTGGTCCACGTCCGGTAGTTGAATCATATGGGTGTTCATAATCTCGGTTGTTCTGTTCAGTTTGAGACTCGCCATTGCCAGGCGTCAATTGTGGACTGCCGTTAGTACGTTGTATCTGTACATTGGCTGTAGTACTTGATTGTTGACCTTCATTAGCGTTTAACGAATCGTAGACAACAGCAGTAACATCTCCTCCTCTACTTTGCGTGGAGTAATGTTGGTGTTCACTTTCCCCGACGTCTAATTCAGGCTTCAGTGTCTTCAGTCTTCTTTAATTACAAACAATAGTCGAAATTATCAAACAAAAAATATAGATTTCTTCATGAAGAGAGAGAGAGAGAGGGGGGGGTGGGAGAGAGAGAGAGAGAGAGAGGGCGTGAGAGGGTATATCGATGTTCATCTACCCCTTACTACAAAGTTCGAACCCTCCCTTCTACAATAAAGCTTTGTCATCATGTAATACAGTTATATTTTAGAATATAACAACATACGTTTGAAGAGAGTGAGAGATAGGGATATCGATGTACACCCCCCACCCTTACTATAAAAGATGATTAGTTCGAAACCTTCCCTTCACAATGAAGGTGTGTCATCATGTAATTCAGATATATATCGTAGTAAACTATAATTTACCTGTTAAAGTATATCACCAAGAGGATGTTGATTGCAAGGCTGATTATTAAAGCTGTACCTAAAACTCCACCAACTATAACAACTGTTTCTTTATCTGACTCCAAACCTCTACAGCTAATACTTGTTGCTTTATCATCTGGTGTTGATTCTGTTCAGATATAATATTATTAATCATTGAACATGTTAATATTATTACTTGACTTAAGGTAATAATAATAATATTTATTGTTTTAAGATTTGGTTCAATAGTTTGTACATAAAACATCCAGAATATAAAACATAAAATAGTTTTTAAGAGCAAAAAGGTGTTAGACATTTATTATATATAAAATTACATTTTTTGATATTATTATTGAACATTAGTATTGTCATCGCTAAACATAACGCGTTATCTACAATACTTTATCTTGTAAACATTCCTTGTATCGTCTCATATCATGATTGATATGGCAACAAATTAATTATAGGTAAGATTGAAATATATATCTTTGATCACAGACGTGTTTAGTGTTTACCGCTAGGATTATATCTTATCATTTTATTTATTTAATACTAGGTCTATGTTTCGTTCCAGCAAGTTTTTACAGGTAGTTGATATTGTTTAATCTATTGTGATAAGCAACATGAAAGGTCAGTTCGGGGACCAAACTTCTTAAAATCGTAAGGCAATTATAAAACCCGGCATCGGTTATTTGTTGATCGTACCAGAACGTCATTTCCCGTTCAACCGACAAGACTTGTTACTCCATTTTATAAAGAAAGATGATAATATAGATTAATATTCTACCTTGAATCTGTATACTGGTACTAGTAGTTGTATCTTGAATCTGTATACTGGTACTGGTAGTTGTATCTTGAACATTTCTTACTGTTGATGAACTAGTAGAATCAGCTGCTGATGATGTAGGATTGGTTGATACACTTGCTGAAAGAAACGTTGCACCATTCAAAATATATCACACTGATAGCATTTGTTATTAATGCAGTGATGACATTTAGGATACGTTTATCAGGTACAACTGTATTATATTTAGTAGAAGTTAGATAAACGTCTTGTCGTATAGTGTGTTAAATGGGGTTTAACTGATTTGAAATGGGGTTTAACATGTTATGTTTCTGCACCGAATGGTCTAATAAAGACGGACATAAGCCATATAGTTCACTATTTAGCCCGGACAGTGGCACTAGGACCCTTATTTCGCATTCTATCTGTCAAGCGCTATTTTACTTACACGTGAATGTGGACTCTATTCCTTGTCAGGCCCTCAGTTCTGGACCAACGAACGAAAAAAGAATATCATGCGGGAAAATCTCGGGGACCGAGACTCCCTGTTAGCGAGAATGCGTCTTACGAACCACGCCACCGCGTTGTGTATAAATAACGTTGAACTGATAACAACAGTATTACAAAAGGAACTGACTTGGGATGTGGATATTATAGTGCCGTGCGCTTGTATCATTTGAACTGATTGATGATCAAAGTAAAACTGGCATCCATATTTTTATTTGTAATGTATTGGACCATTAAAATATATAACACAACTAATAAAATATATACTCACTGTTTGTAACACACTGATATTCTATCTTGCTGTAAGAATGATATATAGGACTACCATTAAAACAATCTGGAGATATTTCATTCAAACCATTATTTCTATTAAGAGTACAAGTTAATCTACCATTACAGGCTTGTTGTAGTTGTGATAGACGAGTTTGATTGTAAGGTGTAAAACAATCTCCAGGCTGTTCTCTACAACATGTTGTATTACTACAGCTAGATATACCATTAAGAGCACATCCTTGTCTATATCCAAACGTTATATTAGTTATTGATATAAACAATGGTTCTATACAGATCAGTCTATGTTCAGTACATCCTACACCAGAAGGACCACTACAAGCTGTACTGACGTTAGCCATTGTTCTGCCTGCAGTGCAAATCAAATTCACCTTGTATTATATTATATAGTAGTGATATCATAAACCATGCATGAGTTGTGTATCTTCTATCGTCCGTATAAAACTTGAAATGCAATGGAGTTCTGTTTCTGGAACGATGTTTTCACCCTAGTTTTAATCAATTATTTATATCGAGGGTTGATTTCTTGTCCCTTCCAAACAACTAGCAGTTCTCTGTGACTGACAAGAGGAAACCAAACTAGAAAATCCCGATGAGTAATGTCGACTAACACCTGGGTTGAGTGGTTGAACGAAGGATCTACTGGTTAGCTACCCAACGCCTTCCTACTATCTTAGTCCCCGTGACTCATCTAAATTGTATCCAGATAATAATAAGTTATAAGATAACATTTGAATTTTTAAAATATTATTCAATGTATGTACAGTTTGACTGGCCTTCCCGAAATGTCATTGAAACTCGTACTGCTCCCACCCACAAAAACGAAAAGGTCATTCAAACTTTACTGCTCCCACCGACAAATACGAAATACATTTAATAAAATGTTAACTTACTAAATGATATAAATTGTAAGAATAGACAACAGTAGAAAACCAATCTGATTATCATCTTGTAACAAACTAACACAGCTCCACTGAAAACATAAAAACAACAGCAACATGATATAAATATATTAATCAGTGGTCACGGTCTCAATGTTGTCTAATTAAAGGGAATTTTGAAAATTTGATTACATCACGTGTACTGGGCCTATAAACTGAAAGTAGTAGTGTATCATTTGGATATTCACTGTATAATACCAACACAACCAGTGTAAATACTCACTAGATCGAAGTATCTGACATAATACAGTTCATATCTCGACACTCGTAGGCCTAGTGATAACTTTACACATATAATATAAGTCAAGTTTATACTACAATATGTGAGATATACATGCTAATAGTCGTATTATAATGTGAGATATACATGTATTAATGACCGTAGTATAACATACCTGATGACTATACAACTATACTCTCTGGATACTGATGAACAGAAGATCAAAATATGATTCTAGTCTTTACCCGTTGTGTACTATATTTATTATGAGACTACCTGTATATGTGTAACATGTACATATAGGTCACATGTTTTACTATATTCATATACCTGACCAGGTAGTATATTAAGGTATTGTAATATTATAACGAGGAATGCATACAGTCATATAGAAAATATGTAAACGTATTGTATTTCTTGCTGAGTTAAGTTTCGCTAGGGTGCATGGTTCGTTGAACATGTGAGGAAGTACGGGGGTACGGGGGGGGGGGGGTGATCTAGTTGTTTTACAAGGTTTGCCATTGAGTCAAGTGGCGTTGTTTCGATAACTCGTCTGAACGTGACTAGGAGTAAGGTCGCCTGTCCACTCTCGTGGGTTTTCTCTGGGTCGCGGTTTAGTCCCACTGCTTCCGCTTATAGGATATAATTTTTTCTTTGTTCATTACAAATGACACCTGAAACCATACAATACAAGACTCGCGTACAGTTTTTGAAAACCTCCACAGTGTCCTAAATATTGGCTTTTTGCTATTAAAATATGGACGTATAGAAATGTTGCTTCGGAAACTGGAAACGCAAACGAATTGCGACAAACAAAAACTATTCAGGGGTCAATTTAATGGTTCATTCTTCAATGTGTCTTATAAAAACATTTTCAATACAAATTATAACTATATCTGTTGAAACTTATTCGTGTGTGTCTAATTTGACTTGTACAAATTATCAACGAGTGTACCCATTCAGCGAGAGAGAGAGAGAGAAATGGGGTTTAACGTTCACTCGACACAAATTAGGTCATTTCGGCACTAACATATGCTTTAATTTTTATTTCAATAATTCGTTTGCGTGTAGGGGTCTTTAGCATGAGCAGTGGGAGGAAACCCACGAGGTTGGACGGGCGATCCTACCCCTTGTCACGTACAACTGCGGAATCGAAACCGCGCCAGTTGACTCAATGACAGACTTTATGATACATCGCGCACACGCTAACCATTCAGCCACCCCCCGCCACATTCAGAGAATATAGAAGCTAGAGGTAATATTGACATAATAGTAGATAATCACAATTATCAAATTGTGTATATTACGTTATTGTCGAGTTTGTAGTGTAGGCCTAAATACCAATACTTGTACGGCGTGTATACTGTAAACTTCCTGGTCATAGATGAAGAAATGTATAGTAAATCTTATACATGTTATGTATAGGTAGATGAAACTTTACACATTTTAAACATGTATGCTATCCTAACATACTAAATGTTTTATTTTGGTTGAGTTACTACTATATTGTTCAATATTCAGTAGTGACATTAGAATACTTAAGTTTAACTCACAGGGTGCGTCAAAGTAATGTTTACAAGTAACATATGACTTGAACTTTCCATGATTCGGTCAAATAGAACATAGTTCTTTGGGCCCGTCGTTGTCATTGAGTGGCAATAATCTTGAAATCATACCAATGTATATTCTTAACTCGTCCACAGGTTAATATCATACGAAACATTACATGTTCAATACTACGTTATTTAGGTTCGATGCACACCTAGGAAACTAGCATATGGAATCGACTTACCATGTTTTACCTTATTTGAATACTGCTTGTTTGGGCCGCTAACTTTGAAAAATCTTGAAATCATTCTCCGAGATATGGTCTAGACACTGTCCATAGGTCAAAAGTCTTTATATAAGAACTTTTAATATTAATCAAAGATTGTTCTGTTTAAAGATGTTGTTTTATTTTTATAGAATGATAATTTGGTTGGTTTACTGTGTCTGTCTCTTCTTACAGTTTGTATTGTGTGGTAAGTAAAACAATAATTTATTAACACGCAATTGTCTGTTATGATCATTGAATATTTAAATCCAATGACAGAAATAGAAACATCTGTTTGTAAGCTGGTGGTATTTGGAACTGGTCCTCTACCAAACTTGATATAACTACTTTATACGGCAAGTGTAAATTAAAATAACCCGGAAGGTAAAGCTTGACAATACAGAATAAATCCCAGATCCGCATCAACGATATCTGTAACACTATTATAGTGATAACAGAATATCAGTTTCGTACAGGGTTTATTTACGTCGGGAACAGAATATAAAACAGCTCCATTTCGCCCCGGCAGCGGCTGAACTCGGATGAGCCCATTCACCGGTCTCCGCTCTTCTCTTCTCCTCCCGATTGTCTATCATCTACGTCTCGTCTACTGCCAGTAATCTCGTGGTTATATAGCCTAACCATTAGAAATGAAATGAAATGAAATGGGGTTTAACGTCCTACTGTTTTGCTCCGAACTGGGCTAATGAAGACGGGCATACGCCATACAGTGTGCTATGAGGGAAATTTTGCCCGGACAGCGGCACTACGGCCTACTCTTATATCGAATTCCAACTGCCAAGGGATCTTTTACGTGCACGCCAATGTGTACACGGGACCTCGGTTTTTCGTCTCATCCGAATGACTAGACAGCTGCCCTTGTCAGGCCCTCCGTCCTGCATCACTGACAAGGGGAAACCACGCCCGAAAATCTGGATGAACTTTCTCGGCCAATGCAGGGATCGAACACCCGACCTCCAGGCTAGCGAGCCAGCGCCTTACCCACTTAGCCACCGTGATCCCCCTAACCATTAGAAAAATTGATACGAACGGAATCTGGCCCAGAGTTCTCAGACTTAAGTTAAGAATTTACTCAACTTTCAATCACTGTTTATGATTATGAGAAATATCTTTGATCCAGAAACACAAAACTTTACACATAGTTTCTTATTGATGTATTTGATACATTAAAACAACAAAAGTTTTATAAAGGGCTATATTTTAGTTAAGATAAGGTGAACAATTTTGAGTGAATGCTTTGTGAACTCGGGGCCCGAACTTCTTATAAGGAGTTTTGGTCAAACAACACAAAGTCATTGTCATATATGGAGGTGTTTATTTACCACGTCATTGTATGTTCAAAGAGCGTGGAGTTTTCATTGCAAAGTATTTCTTTATTTGAAGAAAATCGGATAAACTTGAAAGAAAAAAAACTTCAGACATTGACAGATTTGTATGGTCAAACACTCTTGGTAATCCGGGAACTTGAAAGTAGTTCCAATGGCGGAATTTGTCATACAACCGAGGCTAGATGTAAGGTACTTGAGTCTACTGAGGTTTGCCGAGTATAGTCAATCCTAACATTGTATTTGTATGTTACATTTAACAACATTCAGAACAATTAGGGACCACGTAGTCTTAATTACCCACATGGGGCTGGATTAGGCTATCAATATATTGACAATTCATCAATTCCAGCAACAAACTTATTACAAGTCGAAAAGGCGTGAACTAGATTTTCAGGTATATACACACCTTCCATCGCCTGCTAGTTACCAAATGTTATTTTACCATATCCTAATAAGTTCCACAACAGCAATATACCTACAACAGTTGAAATCCACCATGTCGAAGCGTTAAACTAATGTTTGCACGTAAACATGTATATTACACTGACAGTAAATTAAAACCAATTTTTGCGTTATGCTATTGACTGTACATGTACAGCGGTATGAAATCCAAACATAATGAGGGTATTTTGTTTACCACATGGACAAAAATGGAGAACCCGACGACATCAAACATATAAACACTTGTTACATTACAACCTGTGTAATATGATTCAAATAAAAGGTCAATTCAAAGTCAGAGTTAATAAATACAAAAGTATAAAAATATATGGATTTCACTAGGTTAATATGTGTGGTTATGGATGGCAAAATAGATGTGTGATGATACAACATGCTTTTAACCATGAAAGTATAGATACTTTAGTTGTCGCTAATACCCCAAGTTATATCGACTACAGTTGTTTTTAAAAATAAAACTGCCTTTAGTTTATTGTTATTTCCAGTTTAAGGGAGCGTGTATTAGATATATAATTTACATGTTTAAGTATACCACTAATGAAATATGTGTTTTAGATGTCATTTTATGTACCAGTTGTGTTGATATTACCCATATTATAATAACCAGTCTGGTCTCTTGTATTTAACAAATCATAAACAGCAACTGGTCCACGTCCGGTAGTTGAATCATATGGACTGTCGTTAGTACGTTGTATCTGTACATTGGCTGTAGTACTTGATTGTTGACCTTCATTATCGTTTAACACATCGTAGACAACAGCAGTAACATCTCCTCCTCTACTTTGCGTGGAGTAATGTTGGTGTTCACTTTGATGGACGTCTGATTCAGGCTTCATTGTCTTCAGTCTTCTTTAATTACAAACAATAGTCGAAATTATCAAACACAAAATATAGATTTCTTCATGAAGAGAGAGAGAGAGAGAGAGAGAGAGAGAGAGAGAGAGGGCGTGAGAGGGTATATCGATGTTCATCTACCCCTTACTACAAAGTTCGAACCCTCCCTTCTACAATAAAGCTTTGTCATCATGTAATACAGTTATAATTTAGAATATAAAACATTCGTTTGAAGAGAGAGGGAGTGAGAGATAGGGATATCGATGTACACCCCCCCACCCTTACTATAAAAGATGATTAGTTCGAAACCTTCCCTTCACAATGAAGGTGTGTCATCATGTAATACAGATATATATCGTAGTAAACTATAATTTACCTGTTAAAGTATATCACCAAGAGGATGTTGATTGCAAGGCTGATTATTAAAGCTGTACCTAAAACTCCACCAACTATAGTAGAAGTTCCTTTATCTGACTGTAAAACCTCACCATTAATACATGTTGCTTTATCATCTGGTGTTGATTCTGTTAAATAGAGTATCTCCTACTAGTCGTTTTTGATATCAAAAAATATCAACACAAGTTGTTAAAGTAACAATCAAATTCTTGTAAAGCGATATCACCTGAGGAGATATCGCAGTAGATTATGAAATATATCACACAAGCGATATCTACTGTAGAATGTATTATTGGGTGATAATATATATTATCATGAGTCATTGAACATTATGTTAATATTATTATTACTTTACTTTAGGTAATAATAATAATAATAATATTTATTGTTTTAAGATTTGGCTCAATAGTCTGTACATATAAAATCCAGAATCATAAATAGTAATTAATATAAAACATAAAATAGTTTTAAGAGCAAAAGGGTGTTAGACATATATTATATAAAGTTACAATTTTTGATATTATTATTGAACATTAGTGTTGTCATCGCTAAACATAACGCGTTATCTACAATACTTTATCTTGTAAACATTCCTTGTATCGTCTCATATCATGATTGATATGGCAACAAATTAATTATAGGTAAGATTGAAATATATATCTTTGATCACAGAAGTGTTTAGTGCTTACCGCTAGGATTATATCTTATCATTTAATTTATTTAATACTAGGTCTATGTTTCGTTCCAGCAAGTTTTTACATGTAAGTTTATATGGTTTAATCTATTGTGATAAGCAACATGAAAGGTCAGTTCGGGCCGCAAACATCTTAAAACCGTAAGGCAATTATAAAAGCCGGCATCGTCAATTTGTTGATCGTACCAGAACGTCATTTCCCGTTCAACCGACAAGACTTGCTACTCCATTTCATCAATAAAGATGATAATATAGATTAATATTCTACCTTGAATCTGTATACTGGTACTAGTAGTTGTATCTTGATCATTTCTTACAGTAGATGAACTAGTAGAATCAGCTGCTGATGATGTAGGATTGGTTGATACACTTGCTGAAAGAAAGGTTGCGCCATTCAAAATATATCACACTGATAGCATTTGTTATTAATACAATGATGACATTTAGGATACGTTTATCAGGTACAACTGTATTATATTTAGTAGAAGTTAGATAAACGTCTTGTCGTATAGTGTGTTAAATGGGGTTTAACTGATTTGAAATGGGGTTTAACATGTTATGTTTCTGCACCGAATGGTCTAATAAAGACGGACATAAGCCATATAGTTCACTATTTAGCCCGGACAGTGGCACTAGGACCCTTATTTCGCATTCTATCTGTCAAGCGCTATTTTACTTACACGTGAATGTGGACTCTATTCCTTGTCAGGCCCTCAGTTCTGGACCAACGAACGAAAAAAGAATATCATGCGGGAAAATCTCGGGGACCTCCCGGGAGCAGCTCCGAGACTCCCTGTTAGCGAGAATGCGTCTTACGAACCACGCCACCGCGTTGTGTAAATAACGTTGAACTGATAACAACAGTATTATAAAAGGAACTGACTTGGGATGTGGATATTATAGTGCCGTGCGCTTGTATATCATTTGAACTGATTGATGATCAAAGTAAAACTGGCATCCATATTTTTATTTGTAATGTATTGGACCATTAAAATATATAACACAACTAATAAAATATATACTCACTGTTTGTAACACACTGATATTCTATCTTGCTGTAAGAATGATATATAGGACTACCATTAAAACAAGATGAAGATCTTTCATTCAAACCATTAAGAATACAAGTTGATCTCCCATCACAGGTTTGTTGTTGTTGTAATAGAAGAGTCTGGTTGTAAGGTGTAACACAATCTCCAGTCTCTTCTCTACAACACCCTGTATCACTACAGCTAGATACAGGTACACACCCTTGTCTATATCCAAACGTTATATTAGTTATTGATATAACCAATGGTTCTATACAGATCAGTCTATGTTCAGTACAAGCTATCCCTGATGAACCAAGACAAGCTGTACTAACTTTAGCCATTGTGATGTCTGTAAAGCAAATTATATTCACCTTGTATTATATTATATAGTATTAATATCATAAACCATGCATGAGTTGTGTATCTTCTATCGTCCGTATATAAATCTTTGAAACTTGAAATGAAATGGAGTTCTGCTTCTGGAACGATGTTTTCCCCTAGTTTTAATCAATTATTTATATCGAGGGTTGATTTTTATTTTTTGTCCCTTCCAAACAACTAGCAGGTCTCTGTGAATGACAAAAGGAAACCGCACTAGAAAATCCAGATGAGCAATTTCGACTAACACCTGGGTTAAGTGGTTGAGCGAAGGATCTACTGGTTAGCTACCCAACGCCTTCCTACTCTCTTAGTCCCCGTCGCGCATCTCAATTATATCCAGATAACAATAAGTTATAACATAAAACGTCAACACATTTGAATTTTTAAAATATTATTCAATGTATGTACAGCCCAAAAGGTAATTGAAACTCGTACTGCTCCCACCCACAAAAACGAAAAGGGCATTCAAACTTTACTGCTCCCACCTACAAATACGAAACAAATTTAATAAAATGTTAACTTACTAAATAATATAAATTGTAAGAATAGACAACAGTAGAAAACCAATCTGCTTATCATCTTGTAACAAACTAACACAGCTCCACTAAAAACAACACCAACATGATATAAATACATTAATCAGTGGTCACGGTATGAATGTTGTCTAATAATAGGGAATTTTAAAAACTTGATTACATGACGTGTATTAAATTGTACACTGGGCTTAGAAACTGAAAGTGGTAGTGTATCAATCACTGTTTTAAAGCAACACATAAAGGGGAGGTGTCATTCCCAAGTGGCCGTTTACGAATATAGTGGGATTCAAAAAGCGGAAAGTAAAGCCAGAACCAACCCGGAAGTGCTACAAGAGATTATTAACAATAAACATGCAAAACCCAAACAAATGTTTATAGACATGAATACAAATCCAACACAGCATGAACCTGCAAACATGAAACAAATCCAAAACACATTGTAGATAAGTTTTTTGGAACTGAAGGACTTGCGTGTGCAAACGACACGATAGACTTTGAAAGAAGAAAGCATGACATCTCAACCGTGTACGAAAAATACCCAGACCTAAAAAAGTATCTTGAAACCGTGAAAGATAGAATAACAAAGTTCGTTTATATACCAAAGAGAAATGGTGACGAAGTCAAATTATGGACAAATAACAACGCGGAATCCGCAAACCATATTTTTAAATGTGCCATTGACTGGAAACCCCAAAAGGCTCCGGAATTAATCGAGAAGCTGTATATGAGTGTGAATTTTCAATTAATTAATTTAAGATCTACCCTGTATTTTTCTGGAGATTATGAACTTTGTAGTCGATATAAAGCATATTCTGTTTCTGAACAAAAGTGGCGCTGTTTCAGCGAAGAGCAAAAAGAAAAATGTTTTGCAAAATTTCTTAAAGACTCGAAAAGGAAGCGCGACGAAGAAGAAATTATGTGTTCAACAAACAAAAAATTTTGTGTAGTAAAGAAAGCAAAGTTACCAGCCAAAAAACCCCATCAAACCAAAAGGTGTAGAAGTGTTCGAACTAATAGAAGATAGGCCTAAAATGTTATTTTTTTTATAACCAGTAGCTAAAACAATCTTGATATATTTGCCCTTCAATGTCTAAATTTTAGTTTTGTCCTTCCATATTCTTTAAAATATATATAAATGTTTTTCGACAGCTGTACGTGATTACACCTCAAATAAAAAATAACATTCTTGTTGTATTCTTTTTTATATAAAAAAAACAACCGTAAAATAGTCGGCGGTAACAAGGATCATTAAGCATTTGGTCGGCGGTAACAAGTATTTTGTCGGCGGTAATTATATTACGGTCGAAAGTCATTACAATGGTGTCGGCGGTAAAAAGTATTTGGTCGACGGTAATTACACGAGGGTCGGTGGTAAAAAGCATTTGGTCGGCGGTAAAAAGTACCACCGCACATAACCAGTGTAAATATTTAGTCGGTGGATCGCAGTATCTTTATATAGTTCATATCTTGACTCTCGTAGGCCTAGTAATGAATTTGCACATATTATAGTATTAGTCAAGTATATATTACTATATGTGAGATATATAAAATAGTTATGCTAATGGTCGTAGTATAATATTAGTCAAGTTTATATAACAATTTGTGAGATATATAAAATAGTTATGCTAATGGTCGTATTATAATATTAGAAAGTTTATATAACAATATATGAGATATATAAAATAGCCGTAGTATAACATACCTGATGACTATACAACTATACTCTCAAGCTGCCCTTCAAGTCTTTACCCGTTGAGTACTATATTTATTATCACACTACCTGTATATGTACAACATATGTACAACATGCATATATAGGACACATGTTTTGTTGTATTCATATACCTGACCAGGTAGTGTATTAAGGTATTGTAATATTATAACGAGGCATGCATACAGTCATATGTAAAATATGTAAACGTACTGTATTTCTTGTTGAGTTAAGTTTCGCTAGGGTGCATGGTTCGTTGAACGTGTGAGGAAGTTAAAACGATACACGGGGGAGATGGATGATCTAGTGGTTTCACAAGGTTTGCCATTGAGTCAAGTGGCGTTGTTTCGATAACCCGTCTGAACGTGATTAGGAGTAAGGTCGCCTGTCCACTCTCGTGGGTTTTCTCCGGGTCGTGGTTTTGTCCCACTGCTTCCGCTTATAGGATTTAATTTTGTTCATTACAATGGCACCTGAAACCATACATTACAAGACTCGCGTACAGGTTTTGAAAACCTCCACAGTGTCTTAAATATTGGCTATTTGCTGTGAAAATATGGACGTATAAAAATATCGCTACTTTATACGGCAAGTGTAAATTAAAATAACCCGGGAAGGTAAAGTTTGAAAATCCAGAATAAATCCCAGACCCGCATCAACGATATCTGTAACACTATTATAGTGATAACAGAATATCAGTTTCGTACATATACGGTTTATTTACGTCGGAAACATAATATAAAACAGCGCCATTTCGCCCTTCTGCCCCGGCAGCGGGTGAACTCGGATGAGCCCATTCACCGGTCTCCGCTCTTCTCTTCTCCTCCCCGATTGTCTATCATCCGCGTCTCGTCTATCTGTCAGTAAACTCATGGTTATATAGCCCAACAATTCGGAAAAATTGATACGAACGGGATGCGAACTTCTTATAAGGAATTTTGAGTCTAACAACACAAAGTCATCATCAGATATGGAGTTGTATATTTACCACGTCATTGTATGTTCAAAGAGTGTAGGGTTTTCATTGCAAAGTATTTCTTTGTTTAAAGAAAATCGTTAAACTTGAAAGAAAAACATCTTCAGACATTGACAGCTTTGTATGATCCAACACTCTTGGTAATCCGGGAACTTGTAAGTAGTTCTAATGGCGGAATTTGTCATATAGCCGAAGCTAAAGGTAAGGTAATTGAGTCTACTGAGGTTTGCCGAGTATAGTCAATCCTAACATTGTATTTGTATGTTACATTTAACAACATTCAGAATAATTAGGGAACACGTAGGCTTAATTACCCACATAGGGCTGGATTAGGCTATCAATATATTAATATTTCACTTGACGTATCTCAATTCCAGCAAGAAACTTATTACAAGTCCAAAAGGCGTGACTTAGATTTCCAGATATATACGAACCTTCCATCGCCTGCTAGTTACGAAATGTTATTTTACCATATCCTAATAAGTTCCACAACAGCAATATACCTACAACAGTTGAAATCCACCATGTCGAAGCGTTAAACTAATGTTTGCACGTAAACATGTATATTACACTGACAGTAAATTAAAACCAATTTTTGCGTTATGCTATTGACTGTACATGTACAGCGGTATGAAATCCAAACATAATGAGGATAATGATGTTTACCACATGGACAAAAATGGAGAACCCGACGACATCAAACATATATACACTTGTTACATTACAACCTGTGTAATATGATTCAAATAAAAGGTCAATTCAAAGTCAGAGTTAATAAATACAAAAGTAGAAAAATATATGGATTTCACTAGGTTAATATGTGTGGTTATGGATGGCAAAATAGATGTGTGATGATACAACATGCTTTTAACCATGAAAGTATAGATACTTTAGTTGTCGCTAATACCCCAAGTTATATCGACTACAGTTGTTTTTAAAAATAAAATTGCCTTTAGTTTATTGTTATTTCCAGTTTAAGGGAGCGTGTATTAGATATATAATTTACATGTTTAAGTATACCACTAATAAAATATGTGTTTTAGATGTCATTTTATGTACAAGTTGTGTTGATATTACCCATATTATAATAACCAGTCTGGTCTCTTGTATTTAACAAATCATAAACAGCAACTGGTCCACGTCCGGTAGTTGAATCATATGGACTGTCGTTAGTACGTTGTATCTGTACATTGGCTGTAGTACTTGATTGTTGACCTTCATTATCGTTTAACACATCGTAGACAACAGCAGTAACATCTCCTCCTCTACTTTGCGTGGAGTAATGTTGGTGTTCACTTTGATGGACGTCTGATTCAGGCTTCAGTGTCTTCAGTCTTCTTTAATTACAAACAATAGTCGAAATTATCAAACACAAAATATAGATTTCTTCATGAAGAGAGAGAGAGAGAGAGAGAGAGGGGAGGGAGAGAGAGAGAGAGGGCGTGAGAGGGTATATCGATGTTCATCTACCCCTTACTACAAAGTTCGAACCCTCCCTTCTACAATAAAGCTTTGTCATCATGTAATACAGTTATAATTTAGAATATAAAACATTCGTTTGAAGAGAGAGAGAGAGTGAGAGATAGGGATATCGATGTACACCCCCCCCCACCCTTACTATAAAAGATGATTAGTTCGAAACCTTCCCTTCACAATGAAGGTGTGTCATCATGTAATACAGATTTTAGTAAACTATAATTTACCTGTTAAAGTATATCACCAAGAGGATGTTGATTACAAGGCTGATTATTAAAGCTGTTCCTAAAACTCCACCAACTATAGAAGAAGTTCCTTTATCGGACTCCAAACCTGCACAGTTAATACTTGTTGCTTTATCGTCTGATGTTGATTCTGTTCACATATAATATTATTAATCATTGATCATTATGTTAATATTATTATTTTACTTTAGGTAATAATTATAATAATATTTATTGTTTTAAGATTTGGCTCAATAGTCTGTACATATAAAAATCAGAATCATTAATAGTAATTAATATAAAACATAAAATAGTTTTAAGAACAAAAAGGTGTTAGACATTTATTATATATAAAATTACATTTTTTGATATTATTATTGAACATTAGTATTGTCATCGCTAAACATAACGCGTTATCTACAATACTTTATCTTGTAAACATTCCTTGTATCGTCTCATATCATGATTGATATGGCAACAAATTAATTATAGGTAAGATTGAAATATATATCTTTGATCACAGAAGTGTTTAGTGTTTACCGCTAGGATTGTATCTTATCATTTAATTTATTTAACATTAGTTCTATGTTTCGTTCCAGCAAGTTTTTACATGTAGTTTATATTATGGTTTAATCTATTGTGATAAGCAACATGAAAGGTCAGTTCGGGCCGCAAACTTCTTAAAATCGTAAAGCAATTATAAAAGCCGGCATCCTCAATTTGTTGATCGTACCAGAACGTCATTTCCCCTTCAACCGACAAGACTTGTTACTCCATTTCATCAAGAAAGATGATAATATAGATTAATATTGTACCTTGAATCTGTATACTGGTACTGGTAGTTTTATCTTGAACATTTGTTACTGTTGATGAACTAGTAGAATCAGCTGCTGATGATGTAGGATTGGTTGATACACTTGCTGAAAGAAACGTTGCACCATGGAAAATATATCACACTGACAACATTTGTTATTAATACATAATGGTATTTAGGATAAGTTTATCAGGCACAACTTTATTATATTTAGTAGAAGTTAGATAAACGTCTTGTCGTATAGTGTGTTAAATGGGGTTTAACATCTTATGTTTCTGCATCGAATGGTCTAATAAAGACGGACATAAGCCATATAGTTCACTATTTAGCCCGGACAGTGGCACTAGGACCCTTATTTCGCATTCTATCTGTCAAGCGCTATTTTACTTACACGTGAATGTGGACTCTATTCCTTGTCAGGCCCTCAGTTCTGGACCAACGAACGAAAAAAGAATATCATGCGGGAAAATCTCGGGGACCTCCCGGGAGCAGCTCCGAGACTCCCTGTTAGCGAGAATGCGTCTTACGAACCACGCCACCGCGTTGTGTATAAATAACGTTGAACTGATAACAACAGTATTATAAAAGGAACTGACTTGGGATGTGGATATTATAGTGCCGTGCGCTTGTATATCATTTGAACTGATTGATGATCAAAGTAAAACTGGCATCCATATTTTTATTTGTAATGTATTGGACCATTAAAATATATAACACAACTAATAAAATATATACTCACTGTTTGTAACACACTGATATTCTATCTTGCTGTAAGAAGGAAATATAGCTGTACTAGTAAGATCACAATATGAAGAGCTTTCAGCCAAACCATTAATAATATTAAGAGTACAAGTTGATCCGCCACTACATGTTTGTTGTACTGATGATAGAAGCGTTGGGTTGTAAGGTGTAAAACAATCTCCAGTCTCTGCTCTACAACATGTTGTATCAGCACAGTTAGATAGACCAACAACACTACATCCTTGTCTATATCCAAACGTTATATTAGTTATTGATATAACCAATCGTTCTGGACAGATCAGTTTATGGTCATTACAACCTAAACCTGGTAAACCATAGCAAGCTGTACTAACTTTAGCCATTGTGATTTCTGTAAAGCAAATCATATTCACCGTGTATTATATTACATAATATTATTAGGTATAATAAACCATGCATGAGTTGTGTATCTTCTATCGTCCGTATATAAATCTTTCAAACTTGAAATGAAATGGAGTTCTGCTTCTGGAACGATGTTTTCCCCTAGTTTTAATCAATTATTTATATCAAGGGTTGATTTTCTGTCCCTTCCAAACAACTAGCAGTTCTCTGTGCATGACAAGAGAAAACCGCACTAGAAAATCCCGGTGAGCAATTTCGAGTAACACCAGGGTTGAAGGCTCTACTGGTTAGCTACCCAACGCTTTCCTACTCTCTTATTCCCCGTGACTCATCTTAATTGTATCCAGATAACAATAAGTTATAACATTTGAATTTTTAAAATATTATTCAATGTATGTACAGTTTGACTGGCCTTCCCAAAAGGTCATTGAAACTCGCACTGCTCCCACCCACAAAAACGAAAAGGTCATTCAAACTTTACTGCTCCCACCGACAAATACGAAACAAATTTAATAAAATGTTAACTTACTAAATGATATAAATTGTAAGAATAGACAACAGTAGAAAACAAATCTGGTTAACATCTTGTAACAAACACAACTCCACTGAAAACAACAGCAACATGATATAAATGTTTTAATCAGTGGTCACGGTTTGAATGTTGTCTAATAATAGGGAATTTTGAAAACTTGATTACATGACGTGTATTGAATTGTACATTTGGCCTAGAAACTGAAGATGATAATGTATCAATCGGATATTCACTGCTTTAAACCAACACATAACCAGTGTAAATAGTCATTAGATCGCAGTATCTTACATATAGTTCATATCTTGTCTCTCGTAGGCCTAGTAATAACTTTGCATATATTATAACATTAGACAAGTTTATATTACACTATGTGAGATATATAAAATAACTATGCTAATTGCCGTAGTATAACATACCTGATGACTATACAACTATACCCTCAAGATACCCTTCAAGTCTTTACCCGTTGTGTACTATATTTATATTCACACTACCTGTATATATGCAACATGCATATATAAGAAACATGTTTTACTATATCCTTATACCTGACCAGGTAGTGTATTAAGGTATTGTAATATTATAACGAGGAAATCATACAGTTATATATAAATGTGCTGTATTTCTTGTAGAGTTAAGTTTCGCTAGGGTGCATGATTCGTTGAACGTGTGAGGAAGTTAAAACGATACACGGTGATCTAGTGGTTTCACAAGGTTTGCCATTGAGTCAAGTGACGTTGTTTCGATAACCCGTCTGAACGTGACTAGGAGTAAGGTCGCCTGTCCATTCTCGTGGGTTTTCTCCGGGTTCCCCGGTTAACTCCCACTCCTTCCAGGCAAGCGAATTATTGAAATAAAATTGATCCATATGGCCGTTAAACCCCACTTCTCTCCCTCTCTTCATGTGCGTACATAAACGTATCGTGGATTTCATATAGTGTAGGTATATGGCTGTACTTACTCGGGTATGATCAAATAAGCTTTCATGACTAGCCTTTTCGACTTCTAACAAGTTGGTGAATGTGGTTATAAATAAAGTTGCTTAGTCAGGTGCATGGAAGGGTATCGCTGCCAATATTAAATGCTCTGCGACAATGTCGTTAACATTGATTATCTGTAAAAAGTACAATGTACAAAGTCAAAATACCGGTAATGATCAAGTCAAAATACCTCTAAGGCAAGAGTTAAATGTAAAACGTCAAATGTTAAGTGTAAATTGCACTTAGAAAATGCTTTTATTGACGTGTCTACATTTTACATGTCTCTCATTACATTTTACATTTGCTCTCTGCCACTTCTCATTTGTCCTTTCACGCATTCTACACAGCATGTTTCGCACAGCGTCAACTTGCCTATGCAAATGTTGGATATCACGTGACTTATTAACATATACGGAAACCTGGCACACTATATATCAGCACACGATAACCGGATATCTAGCGGGCACACTTTAAAAAAATCTGGACGACCGTGCGTAATCATGAATGTGCCAGGAAATAATTGATAGATTCAAAGAGCCAAAGAAGCAAACTTTCCAGTAATTTATAACACAATAACTGGAATTGTGTATCAATACCCTTATTTTGACATTTTAAATACTCCCTTTTAGTACAGCCTAATTAACTTTGAACCATTAAAAAACCCAACAATATGTATAAATAATATATTTAAAGAGTGGAATGACCATACATTTTTTAGTATGGGCGTAGATCATTTTTGATTAAGCTCCATATCTTTAGTTTAGTTTAGTTCACCCCCCCCCCCCCACCCTTCCTTCATTTCAACTTTAATCTTTTTCTGTAAAGTTATGCAAATAAGAATGTGCCAGAACATTATTAGCATATTTGAAAAAGAACATTCAGTGATAGATATTTTTAAGGAGCAATGGACGTACTTTAGTGATAGGTAGCATGGTATCGAGAATTTCGGATTAAGACCCCCCCCCCCCCCCCTCCGCAATCTTGGCAATAGATTTTAGTTCCATTCAACTTTGTTTTGTTTTTTTTTAAGTGCCAGAAAAATATTTACATATTTGAAAAGAGCAATGAACCTGCTTTTCAATTTTGGATTTTTTTTCTATCAAGACTCGTATTTTAACATGGAATACCGCCCCCCCCCCCCAAAAAAAAAAAACCCTGCGTATTGCGGGTGTTTCTTTAGGCCTTCAATATTATTTCAAAATTAGTAATAAGACAAATTAACTTATCCACCAGACCATAATCAATGAACTCTCGATGGAATCGTTAGTCTGTGACATTTATTGGATTTGAGTTATGAAAATACGGTTGTGCCAGAAAACTATTTACATATGTAATATGTAACATGACACTCGGAATTTCGTACTTGGACATTACCCCCCCCCCCACACACACACACACAGACACACACACACACACACACACACACACCCAGTCATGGTAAAGTACCATCCACATTTGATCGTTTGCCAAGGTAAGTAAGTATATTCCTTATTGTGTGCTATCTGATTTCTTGTGGTGAATATCCTTGTTCTTGCTTATAGTGTGACAGGTTTCCCTATATGTTAATAAGTCACGTGATATCCTACATTTGCATATGAAAGTTGATGCTGTGAGAAAGATGCTATGTAGAAAGCGTGAAGGACAAATGGGATGTGGCAGAGCGCGAATGTAAAATGTAATGCGAGAAATGTAAAATGTAGACACGTCAATAAAAGCATTTTCCCAGCAAACATTTGTCATTTGACACTTAACATTTGACGTTTTACATTTCATTTCTTGCCTTAGAAGTATTTTGACTTTATCATTATCGGTATTAGGACTTTGTACATTGTACTTGTTACATATAGTCAATGGAAAATACATTGTAGCAGAGCATTTAATATTGGCAGCGATACCCTTCCATATAGGTGAAGTTCTTATGTCAGACGATATTGCTTTATTTAGTTATACATTGTACACCTCGTTAATAACTTTACGGTAATATGTTAAGCCGCACGTGTGACATTACACTGTGGACAGCTATGGCGGAATACTAGGGGAGACCGCGTTCGTCGCCTGTCGCCGGCCTTTATCGTATATATCTTGTAGGTCATAAACTGTTGATAACTGGTAATCTGTTTGTCAGAAATGAAATGAAATGGAGTTTAACGTCTTACTAAAGACGGGCATACGCCATAGAGTGTGCTATCAGGGAAATTTTACCCCGGCAATGGAACTACTGCCTACTCGTATATCGAATTCCAACTACTAAGAGATCTTTTACGTGCATTCCAATGTATACAGGGGACATAAGTTTTTCGTCCCATCCGAACGACTAGACGACTGTCCTTGTTATTCCCTCCGTCTTGCACCACTGCCACCTATACACTATTTTATTACAATACTATTACAATATACGCCAATAAATTGCATTCCAAGTCAGAGTCAATAAAGACAAAGGCTTAGTAGGTAAATCTCTGTTCTTATGGGTGGTAAAATAGGTATGTGATTTTTAACCATGAACGTATAGATACTTTTGTTGTCGCTAATACCCACGCCGGAAAATCTGGATGAACTTTTTCAGCCAATTCAGGGATCGAACACCCGACCTCCAGGCTAGCGAACCAGCGTCTTACTCACTTAGTCACGTGATCCCCTATATCGAATGGAACAGAGATCTTTGGGATTAAAATATATATTATAAAGGGCGTATATACTTTTAAATTTTAAAATAGAAGAAAAGGGCTCTAAAAGCATATATTAATGTAATATGAATGTATGTAAAGTAATTTATATTCAATTTTTAAAAGATTCATGGTAATTTCTAATCAATTGTGTTTGTTGAAAAATGTGGACAGTTCAATTATTATAATTTCTAATCAATTATGTTCGGTGAAAGATGTGAATCGTTCAATTATTGTAATTTCTAATCAATCATGTTCGGTGAAAGATGTGAACAGTCTAAATTGAACGGCTGTTGTTTATAGTCCGGGAGCCCAGTGAGATTTAATCAAAATCTTTAGTCCAAAAGGTTTGAGGTCTACACCACATATTTTACCCCTAGATCATTTTGGAAAGCCAAGTCTTAAGTTTTGTAATCTGTGCATATACCTGGGAGCACCCCCCCCCCCCAACCCTCCCATATTTAATGCGAGTTAAAATTCAATGTCCATCTACAATTTTTTGGCAAGCGTTTCACACTTAACACTAAGAAACAGAATGCATGACTTAAGAGCATACAATGTTGTGCTAATGCTACTTAAGAGCTTAATTAATTAGCACTAATTAGTGACCGTAATTAAAATTTAGAGTCCATAACTGAAACAAAGCCTAAAAGCTAGCTAACCAAGTCATGAAACCAAAAATATCACTTAAGAGCGACACAAGTTGAACAAACCTTGCTTAAGACTCGTTCAAAGGTCAAAGGTCACTAATGAATGACCATACTTAAAATTTAGAGTCCATAACTGAACCAAAGCCTAAAAGCTAGCTAATCAAGTCAGGAAACCAAAAATATCACTTAAGAGCGACAAAAGTTGAACAAACCTTGCTTAAGAGTGGTTCAAAGGTGACAAGGGTCAAAGGTCAACTTTTAGGTCACATAATGACGTTTGAGTGGATTTGATTAAATTATCTTGTCCAGAATTATTTTTCTTTCTAACACCATTTCTATGAGTTTCACTGCACAAAATGACTGCTTAAGAGCTTATTAATTAGCACTAATTTGTGACCATAATTAAAATTTAGAGTCCATAGCTGAAACAAAGCCTAAAAGCTAGCTAACCAAGTCAGGAAGCCAACAATATCACTTAAGAGCGACAAAAGTTGAACAAACTTGGCGTTAGACTGGTGACAAATGTCATATTTTGGGCCACATTATGACCAATTAACCAATCAACCCATCAAATTGCTTATCTGTGCTTGCCCTTCAAGAGACGCGGACAAATATGCGACGAATCACTCATTCCTAGGAAATGAAATGCAGGAACTTTTATGTGTTCTCCTTTACATGGATATTTACGGGAAAACAGGTCGAAATCGGAAGGTTATTTTCCATATAATGCTATCAAGACTGGCTTATACTTATAACATGTTTGTGCTAGATAAGATAAGATGTTAATTGCATCAAAACGTCCATTTAGGACAACATGTATACATATATGTTTAGACATAGTCGTATACATTTAATAATACATATAACATAGAAAACACATACATGTACACACGAGTACATATCCTCTCACAGTCTCACACAACAACTGTTGGTCTTCAACGGAATTATTAGTGAGCAGAAATTCGGCCGTATATCTATTATCACTCGTCGCTTCAGTCAGTTATATTGAGCGGTGACTCGTGTTTTCCTTTGGCGTTCGTCACTTCCGATACGGGAAACCTGTATTACTCAGCTATCGTAGCAATGATCTCTGTGTTAAAAGTATATTTGGAATGTGTTTAACCAGCTCTAACACATATGTGATAATGACTGGCACCAATATTGTCCTTTAACTTTCCCGGCCAATTCAGAAA